TCATTCCTTACTATCACCCACTTTAAATCTTTCAATGCCTCAGTTGCATTAATTGGTTTGAAATCTACGTAGAAAGCATCGTGTACCAGCTCACCTTCTTCATCGACCACATCATCTGATGTAATCGCACATTCTTGCAAACTTGCAGACATGTGTCTTGTTCGTCGAGGTCTGCTTGGGCCAGCTTCATCTTTGACTTGTTCCTGTCGAACTTATCTTTTGACTTCAATGGATGGTTTTTCACAAGAGATTCTCACTGAATCCTTCTTGACATTCTGAGTCCAATTTTATTCTTTAAGCTCATCTATGATCACGTCCCTGCTGATCACTACCTGCTTATTCACTAGGTTGAACAACTTGTAACCTCTAGTCGAATGATATCCTATCAAGATCATCTGATTCGACTTATCATCAAGCTCCCTTCTCAACTAATCTGGAACATGTATATGTGCTATAAATCTAAACACTTTCAAGTGACTGAGGCTAGGCTTGACACCAGACCAACATTCTTCTGGTGTGATTCCTTCAAGCTTCTTTGTTAGACATATGTTTAATATGTATGTTGCTGTCGAAACTGCTTCTCCCCATAATCATTTGTGTAGATGCTTTCTATTCAACATACTTCTCACCATGTTCATGATGGTTCTGTTCTTTCTTTATGCAATTCCATTTTACTGTGGACTGTAGGGTGGCACCACCTCATGCACAATCCCTTCTTTTTCACATAATGCATCGAACTCTTTTGACATATACTCTCCACCATCATCAGTCCTCAGAATTTTCAACTTTCAACCACTCTGTCTTTCGACCATAGATTTGAATCTACCAAATACTTCAATCACATCATTTTTCTTCTTGATGAGGTAAGCCCATAGATTTTGACTATAATCATCTACGAACGTGACAAAGTATATGTTTCCTGCAATCGAATCCACCTGAATTAGACCACATATATCAGAGTATATGACTTCCAGATTTGCCTTCGACTTCTTTCCTGCATCCTTGTTGAAGTTATTCTTGTGTTGTTTCAACTGAACACATTATTTACAAACTTCACTTGGAATGTCGATTTTAGATAATCCTGAAGCCATATTTCTCCTCTTTAGCTCTCTGATGTCGTTGAAGTTGAGATGGCCTATTCAAAAATGTCATAACCATTCATCTCTGTTGGTTGTAATTGCTAGGCACTTGTGCTCCATCATATTGAGTTCAATCTTGAAGGTCCTATTCTGAGACATTGGAGCCTTCAAGATTAACCTACCACCTGCGTTGAAAACTCTCATCATCTTGTCTTTGATCGACACCTTGTAGTTCTTTACGACTAGCTGCCCTATACTAAGAAAATTACTTTTCATGCCTGGTATGTACAACACATTGGAAATTGTTGACCTCTTGCCATCTTTTCTCATAATCAAGACATCACAAATACCTTCAACTGCTAGAGTATTTGTCATTTTCAAATTTCACCATGTTCTTCGACGAGGGCTTCATGTTGATAAACCAATTTTTCCTTCCAGTCATGTGTGATAAGCATCCTGAGTCCAAGTACCACTGGTCCTGGAATCTCTCTTCGTCTCTTATTGTGACAATTAGCAACATCTCTTCTTCTTCATGCTTCACCATCTTTGCATCAGTTTCTTGATTCTTCTTCTTTTCTCGACATTCACTAAAATAATGACCACCTCTTTGGTTGCCTTGGTTCCAGGGTTTTCTTCGATTCGACTAGTTTCCTTCCTGCTAATTTCGACCAGTCGAATTGTTGTAGCCTTATCTACATTTGTTTTCATTCCAGCTTCCTTTGCCTTTCTTTTCCTTTTCTAACTGTGCTTGCAAAGCCATATCACTTTTCGACTTTCCTGCAGCTCTCACAGCCATCTTTTGTTCATGATACTCAAGCGTCCCTTGAAGATCTTCCTTCGTCAATGTTAACAAGTCTTTCGACTCTTCTATGGCTACTACCATGTGGTTGAATTTTAAAGCCAACGACCTCAAGATCTTTGCAACAACTGATCTTGATGTCAACACTTCTCCATATACCTTAATTTGATTCACCAGCTTTGTAACTCTAGTGAAGAAATCTGTTTTACTTTCACTTTCTTCCATCTGAAGCAATTTATAAGTTGTCTTGTGAGTTTGTAACCTCACCTCTTTCACCTTTTTTGCGCATCCAAACGACTTTTCAATAATCTCTCACGCTTCCTTCGCTGATTCTACATCACTAACATTTTCAAAATTATCTGGATCTACACATTGATGGATTATAAAGAGAGCTTTATAAACCTTTTTCTTCAATTCTTTGAATGCAATCTTTTCTTGATTTGTCACGTTTTCTGCAAGCGGTGCTACTCCTTCCTTCACAAGATCCCAAAGATCTTGATAACAGAAAACCACATTAATTTGTTTGCACCAATTCTCATAATTATCTTTCTTGAGAATTGGAAGGTTTGCCGAAAAGTGACCGTTTAGATGATTCATCGCCATCACGATTCTTCTTCCTTGAATCGTAACCGAAGCTCTATATACCAGATGTTGGAAATTCAACCACAACTTATGGAGAATTTCACTCAATCAATCTTGATCTCAAGATTGTTTCAATTCACATAATGACAATGAAAGAAAAATTTAGAAAAAAGAAAGAAAAAAAGTAAATTTGGAGAAGAAGATGAACAATTTTCTGCATAGAACTCTCTGCCCACAAATTATGGAAATCCTGTTATTTCATTTGCAACTACAAACTGTGAATTACAAAATATGATGAGATGAGAAGAGATATTTACAAAATAAGTGTTTCTCCCTATTTATAGATTTAGGTTAGCTTGCATCCCAAGGCAAATCCTAAACTATAAAAGTCCAAAAATATCTAATCTAATCTTTTTAAATCAATTTTAATCTTTTTAAATCCAATATAATTTTTATAAAACAATTAATTACATATTTAACCGTTTAAAAATACAATGGAAAACGAGTTTTCTTGCTTTCTATAACAAACATAAAATATATATTAAGAACTAGTAACCAATATGGTTAAAGAAGATTTTAAAGTGATGTTGAAAATAACATTAGTCATACATAGATATTTTGTGTCAATAAATCGACAATTGCACTATGCAATAATTTAAGATCCGTTTAATTTGATTTTACAAAATTATTTTTTGATTTTTAAAATTTAAAAATTATAAAGTTTATATGATAATTTAGTTTTACGAAATTATTTTCTATTTGAAAATTTTAAGAACTTAAAAAACTAAAATAGATTTTGGATGTTTTGAGTTTTGCTTTTTAGTTTTAAAATAAAGAAAGGAAAAAATAAAACAAAAAAGTTATATTTTTTTATTGATCAACTTTAAATTTTTTTTAAAAGTTAAATTATAAAACATTTTTTTTTAATAATTTCTCTTCAAAATTCTTTTTTAAAATTAATTTATAAAATAATTGTTAAAAATTTAAATGAAAAATTATTCAAACAGTTCTGTAGAACACCCACATCTACCATTCTTGTTTGAGTTATTTAAATATAGTCAACTTAATTTTTTACATTATATTATATTTTTTTATTTTTTAAATAACTCAACTACATTTTTTTAAATATTCATATAATTTATCAAAAATTTAAAAATGAGTTCTACTAAACTCTACAATACACCTCACATTTATATTATATAAAAATATAATTGATAAAACTAAATAAAATAACCAAATAAAATAATCAAATAAAAGATTAGAGACATGCTTTGGTTTGTGGACGTTATGTAATTTGAGAACCGCAATATGTAAATTATCAATGAGATTCTGACACACTTACTTTAAAAACGGTAAACTGTGTAGCAACCCCAAAACCATAATCATGCTCTTAGTTTTTATTTTTTATGGACAAGAACTAGTCCTTTAAAAAAATGGTGATAGAGAAACAAGTAGTTTTACAGGTTGAAGAAAGTCTATCTGCGATATTCATCCGAATCTGCTCTAAAGCTGATGAGAAAAATCTGCATTTGAATTTTTTCTAATTAAAAAATACAGAAAAGAGTCAAATAATAAAAATATTAGTACCTGCTCCAAACTCCTTTTGTTTATATCATTATGTACATTATTATTTAATTTTGTTAATTTGAAATATCAAATTTATTGTTAATGTTTTAATATTTTGATATTTATTAATTATTTAAAATATATATATGAAATTATTTGAGATTGTTTTATTTTATTATTTATATTATAATTTAATTTTAAAAAAGATAAATATTTTTATTAAAAAAATTAATTTTACTAATGACATAGTGACCGGGCGAGAATACACAAACCAAATCCAAATCCGTTTGAAATAGGTTTGAATTTTAATTCTCCATCTTTTTTTAGATTTAGAGCAAGAAATAGAGATTGTTTAAGAATTTGAATTTGAAGAGTAAAAATCGTCATGACTTACCTACTTCCCTATAGTGATAAATTTGTATTCTTAATTTAAGGGAGATAATAGGAAATTAAGATTAGATAGTATAATCTTTATATAAAAGAATCATTAAAAACCCATATTATTCAATTTTATGATATTTATATTTTAAATCATGATTAGTATTGTATTAGTCAAAAATAAATGTAACAGTTTAAGATAAAAAATTTATAATATTATTCAAGACTTGCTCATTTGTAATTAAATTTTATTTTATTGTGATTTTAAGTTTATTAATTTTATGTGAATTAAATAAATCATAAATCATCTTGACTTCATGGCCCAATGGATAAGGCGCTGGTCTACGGAACCAGAGATTCTGGGTTCGATCCCCAGTGAAGTCGTTTTCTTTTTTATGACTAATAAATGCAGTATTTAAATGACTCTATTGAGGGAAAGCTAAATGGTGCAATTCAGAAATTATGTTATCATCTTTCTGCCTCATAAGAAACGTGTTCATACACACTTAGAGCCTTCCTACTAATAAACATGGGGAGTTCAAACATAATTATAGAGTGCCTACGTCAAAGGGACTAAGTTTTTACGTAAATTTATTTTAAAGTAAGGCAATGCTGCTGTCTCCACCAGGGGGTTTGCGGGCTCCTTTAACAGGTTCTTTGATTTCTGGCTTTCCGTCAGCAAATATGTCACTACCAGTTATTTCTCTCAGCTTTGCTCTGCTCAGTGATTTTTCTGCTGATCCTGCAGGAACATCTCCATGGAAAATATTATTTCCTGATAGCTCTGCAAACTTCTGGTCGTGTATCTTCTTCGATGTCTTCTCAACTGGTGATTCGCCAAATAAAATATTACTTTGCCCACCTGCAGGCTACAAATACAGGAAAAAGAATGTCAAAATGGAGTCATACCATAAATATGAGGCAAAAAAGAAATGATGAGGAAATGTGTTTTATCACAAAGTGGCAGTTAATATTACAATGAAATGTTGGGCTAATTATGCAGTAGGGACTATGCAGGATGAGGAAAGCCAACGCAATTTTGACTAAAGCTACACTTTAGAGTTTCAACAAATCAGTGTCACCTTCAATCAAAACATACACACATACATAATATTTTCAAAAAATACCTATGTCATTACTAAAACTCCCACCCCTAACACCCAGTAATCTAAAAAGAACAATACCATCACAGAAACTTTAAAAACAATTTAGAAAACTGATGGGCGTTTTGGATGCATTGCATGTGCAGTTTGGCTTCAATTCAATTTGACAGGCACATGTTCAGACAAGGCAATAAAAGGCAAAATAAATTTTGAAGATGCACATGATTGACCCTCAAGTGCTGCAACTGTATTATGATTATCTCTAGTACAACGCTGAGTTGTATCTTAAATAAATTCTTACCACCAACCCCCACCTCAAAAAATTAAAAAAAAGTTAATCTACATTTGATCAATTTTGCATTCTAGGCAAGTGTGAGGTAACATTGGTGGGATTGTCAGGGTCAAAATTCATCACCATTAAGATTCATGTAAAAGTTACTAGCCTAGGAATAACACAAAAGCCTAACTCAGTCTACGTAACAAATTACCCATGTCATAAGAAAATATATTACAAAAACAAACAATTCTCCAGCCATACATTCATCCAATATAAAATGATAGACAAAGATTCATTACTTTCTTGCCTAGAATAGAAGACACTTACATTAGAAACTTTCACCGATGTTCGCAGATTTCTAGGAAGAGGTTCTCCCATATCCATACTATCCTTTGATTCTAAAGTCCGCGCAGCTGCCATGGAACGGGGCACAATTTCAGGAGGAGGGCCAAATATATCATTTCCAGTGAGCTCCTTTGTTTTGGCATTTGATGTTTGCTTCTGAGTCTTTGCGTCTAAGTCAGTTTGCAAGGTACCGCTCAGTTCACGCTGCTTTGCTACCTCAGGTAGAGAGGTAGGCCTCTTAGGGCTAACACTTTCGTTGGTGCTGAACGATATCTGACTTACTCCATTTATTGCTTGCTGAGATGCAATGCAATCACACAAAAAAAAAAACAAAAAAAAAAAAAACATCTTAATCAGAATGAAGCTCAATTTGATGTTTCAGAAATGCCCATATAAGGTTTCAAACTGGTTCCAAAATCAAGTAGATTATTGAAGTAAACCTGATATATGCGTATGCTAGTTCTGTTATTTGAATTGACAGAACCAGGCTCGGATGCAGAATCTTCAGCATTGTCCGAAAATATACCATTTCCACTCATCTCTTTCATTTTATACCCTGAACATGGCTTGCTGAATGCACCAAATGGAAACAAAGATAAGTTCAACCAAAAAATAAAATAAATAACATTTGAAAAATAACCATTTCCTCCTAGCTTAGATTCGACATTTCCATGACATAAAAGAAACTAATGTTCCTGAAAAACACTTTCTCTAATTAAGGAACAGATCTATGCGGAAAAAGATGCATGACTTAATCAGATCGAAGAGCATTGGAAGAAAAAGGAAAAAGTGGAAAAATAAAAAAAGAAAAGAAAAAAGAAAGAAAGATCGGATCTGAAATTGATTGATGTACCTTTTGGAGAGAGTGAGAGCTTCTTCTTCGGAGAGCTGGTCGCTATTGAGAACCTTGCTAATTCTATCAGAAGGCTGTGATTTAAATGCATTGAATGAATGATTAAAACAGAGAAAGAGATTTGAAGAAAGAAAGAAAGAAAGTGTGAATGAGAAGAAACAGTAACCTGACGAGAGCGGGCGGCGGAGACGGAGGTGGAGGAGTCAGACGGAGGAGGAACTTCGGACCAAGTGAGTAGATCGGAGGTGTTTGTGTGGGGCTTTCTCACCGGCGTGCTTGCCATTGTTTTCTTGAATTGAGTGTGAATGAACGAAGAAATGAATGAGAAAATGTTTAGAATTTCAAGAATCGGAGATAGATAGATTCATTAGAGTTTGAAATGAAAAATTGGTTTGTTTAAATTTAACCAAAGACTATAGGTCTCATCACAAGAGTCTTCCATGTGATGGCTTTGATGACCACCACGTGTCCTTTTTCGGACAAAGCAAAATATTTCAACGTGCGGTCTCACAGTTTCAGTATCTCTCTCCTCACTCCCAATTTCAAACATTATTATATTTTTTATTTTTCTTACTTTTCTTAAGACACGATAATGCTTATTAGTGTAGTAATATAATCTGACAATTTTCTCTTTTAAAAGGCAAAGATAATGCATTAAATAAAACCAGGCATAAGCAATGCCAAGACCGAAATAGTTTTGATTAATTACAAACCAAAACATCCAAAAAGTCAACACTACAAGAACAAATTAGTCACTAAACATATCAGAATAGATTAAATCCAAACACACAATCTGTCGCACTTGAAAAACACCAACACTTCTAAGGCTGAACATTGCGTGCACAACCATTAAACAAAAACAAGACAAAAAATTTGTAGGGATGCCAAATACTCACCAGCAAAAAAGTCACCCAAACCTATTGTTGAAATAGAACTGCTATTGAACCATCAAATACGCTAAATCGAACACTAGGATACAGTAAGCTGTTTGACAGGAGCAGGTCCAAAACAATGCAAAAACACACCAATACTGTTAGAAAAACACGAAATATCGATTAATACAACTACACTGAAACACCTACGAACCTCTCAAAGATCGCACTAGAAACAAAACCATCCAGACAATCTACTCAGAAGAAGGGCATAAGATTCTATACAACTTTTCTGTCTTGAAATTAAGCCAGAGGTCTTCCACTGACGACCTCTTGTCACACCCTCATTTTCTCCTTTAGCCTTTATACCCTACATTCGCCATATCATACATCGTTCTATTGCATATCGAGCATGTGGGTTCATAAGGTATAGATTGGATCGATTTGTTATTTTCCATTTCAAATGAAATAACTCGTCTATCATGGAATACATGGAAGAAAAGGTTCATCACCTAAGCTTTGATCTAAGTTGGAAAGTTTACTCATCTCGATTTCTTCAAGGTGAAGTTACTTGAAAAAATATTAGGATATTCAAGATATATTCCTAGTGAACATGAAATTCAAGGCCTAAATTCAAGATTGCTTCATCCAACTTTGTTTCAAATTCTTGATCAAGTGGAGTCCAAATTTGCAAAGCAGGAGTCAAGATCACAAGTCCATAATTCAAGACTTCATCCATTTCAAGTTTAATGGTTCTAGGGAAATCCATCATGAATTCATGAATTAGAGGCAAGAATATTACAAAGAAAAATTTTATGACATTACAAGAATGTCATTTGTTACAAGATTTCCAACTCTAAGTAATGTTTAGAAATTAATTTATTTCTAATCTTCATTCAAGTCTCTAGTCAAATTCATGTTATGGTAATGCCACACCAAGTTCACATTGTGCTTACAAACATCCAAGAAATATGCAAGAATTAAATCAACATTGGAATGTTTTAAGACCAAGAATGCAATGTTTAATCATGGGCAAAACAACCCCATGCAAGAGATGGCAAATTACCTCATGTCACAAAATCTACATGTCACAAAATCAAGAGAATAGCATGATAATACATCTAAATATCAGATTTTCAAAATGCTGTCAAAAAGTAGTAGCATTGACCAAGAGGAGTTGTCCAAGCACAAGCCAACAAAATGGGTGCAAGGCACAAAGTGCTGCAGAAAAAAAACAGCATAGGCAAAGTGCAACAACAAAAATGTAGCATAGCATCTTGCATGAAAATGGAAAGAAAGAGAGTGGCATGAGAAAAGGTGGTAAGAGACATCACCCCATGAAAAAATCTGATATGTGGGGAGAAGAGAAAACCCTAGAGTGGATGGATAAGAAGGAGGGGGCTGTAAACAAAAAGGGATTGATTCATTACACATTCTACACACATTACAAAAAACCAGAAAATAGAGAGAGCAAGAGAAACCCTAAAAACCAGAAAAATAGAAAGGAAGAAAAACCAGAAAAAGAGAGTGACATAGAAGCACAAGAGAACCATTGAGAAGCAGAACCTTCACAACATAGAGTGAAGAGTGGGGAGCACATCCAACAAAAACCAGTGGAGGACTTGCAAGAAGGATAGAAAGTTCTTGGGTATCCATTTCATCAAACCTTTCTCTCTTTACTTTTTGCTTTTATATTCATTTTACTTCCTCTTTTATATGTTGTTGTACTAAGTATATCATGTAAGGTTCTAAGGGGACCAAGAAACCATTTTTAAGAACCATAAAAACGAAAGATAAACAAGAAAAAGTTGATTTTTTCCCCTGGTAGCCTGACACGGGCTGTGTCGTGCTGCGCCTCTGTTTGAGATTTCATGGCGTAAAAGGCCCAGACCTCTTGACACGGGCCGTGTCACACGACACGGCCACCCGCGTCACACCGGTGTTTACATAAAAAAATCATTTTTTGCCCAGACCTCATGACACGGGCCGTGTCACACAACAGGGCCACCCGTGTCACACCTCTGTCAAGCCTCAAAACTCATATTGCAGGCACTTTATGACACGGGCCGTGTCACACAACACGGCCGCACGTGTCACACAACACGGTCGTCCGTGTCACACCACTGTTTTTTCACTTTTTTTTGATATTTTACCTCCAAAAAAATGTTTTTCAAGGAGTTCGCACGACGAACTCCTTTTTTTTTGCATGTCTCGATTTTTTTTAGCCGACTAACCCCATATGTTTGCATGATTTTAGTATGTGAATATTGCTATTATCCTTGTTGACTTTTGATTCCAAAAACCATTTTAAAAAAACAAACTCTCGATCTTATCGAGCCATTTTTAACCTTGTAAGTCGATTGTCTTGCGCATCGCCATCGACCTTGTCCGTATCGTTTCAAATATGTCTTTACAAACAATAAACCTTGATCCAACATCAAGTGATCCTTTTTCTCATAAAAACTCAAAATACAATAAATATATGGTTAGGTTTGTACACCATGGATTTTAAGGTGGTGGAGAAGGAATGAGAATGGAATCCTCCTACACTCGTTCCGAATGTTTTGGATACAAGGCGCTCGACTTGGCTATTCGAAACATTCATCTCTATCCAAAGTCCTTTTATGTAACCCTAATTAAGAACCATTTCTCTTCAAAAAACCTAAAAATAACATCAACTCATCAAACTATTTTTCGCCTTAGGGCATCAATCGAAAATCCTTTTTCAAGGTATAAAATCAATCAACAAACAATTATTTCATAAGCCTCCGAACTACGGAGCTCTGATTCTTCACTTCTTTTAAGTGAGGATACGTAGGCACAAGGGCCACAATCCTTGGCGAGCATTAAAATAAATAAACCAACCCCTATTTTCCTTAAACAAGCAAACTCTTAACAAAAATACTCATTCACGCGAAACAACCTAGAAGGTTCCCATCGAGTACGATTGATGCGAGGGGGTGCTAACACCTTCCCCTCGCATAACCGACTCCCGAACCCTAAGACTTGGTTGCGATGACCATGCTCTTTTACCAAAGGTTTTATCGCTATTTCCTTTTCCCTCCTTGGGATAAATAAAATCCGGTGGGGACTCTGTGTCATTTTTCGCGTAGCGACACCTCTCAATCAACTAACATTCCTATACAGACTTTGGGAAATATGTACAAGTGATTGATATCACACTCAATCATTTTACCCTTTAATTTTAACCACTTCCAAGATGTCACTATTACCTCTTCGACGATCTTTTCAATTTAAATTTTCTCATTTGAAATATTTTGGCGTTCCTTTACTTTCAAATACACCATACGCAAGTAAATCAAATCACCTGTTTGTTCTTTCATCTTGATAGCTTGTCTTTTAGTGTTCTAATCACCTGTGCCCAAGTCTTCTTTAGATTTGGATTCACCCTGATTGGTGACCCCAGATAATTGAATGGTAGAGCTCCAATACCATGGTTCAAAATTCTAGCAGCTTCTATTGTCCAATATTGAAGAGTATTGATCCCAACAATCATGCTCTTTTGGAAGTTTACTTTTAATCCAGACATTAATTCGAAGAATAATAGTACTACCTTAATGGTTCAGATATTCAACCAACTTTTTTCGCTTATTATCAACGTGTCATCTTCATATTGCAAATGAGTGAATCTATCATTACCTTACTCAAACTTTTATCCTGTATACTTCCGCACCTCAATAGCCTTTTTCATCATAACATTAAATCCTTCAGCCACTATTAAGAATAAAAATGGGGATATATGGTCTCCTTGTCTAAGCCCTCGACCCATCTTGAATTCTTTTGTAAGGCTTTTGTTAACTAGCATTGATACCATTGATGAGCTTAGACACACTAGGATCCATCTTTTCTATTTCTCTTGGAATCTTATTTTTTTTCCATCACGTACCCTAGATAATTCCAATCCACTGAGTCATATGCCTTTTCGAAATCCATCTTAAAGAGGATCACTTCTTTCTTCTTTCTCTTAGCTTCTTCTACGACTTCGTTTGCGACTATAATCCCATCAGTAATCTGTCTATTTGCAATGAATGCTGATTGTGGCTCAGAAATGATAGAAATGATCACTTTTTTCAGTATGTATGTCAGTATCTTAGATAACATTTTGTACATACACCCCACCAATGAAATCGGTCTGAACTCTGTTATCTTTGTCGCGTTCTTTTTCTTTGGTATAAGAACCATGAAAGCACAATTTGCTCCTTTTACAAACCAGACATTTGAGTGAAATTCATACATCATCCTCATAAAGTCACCTTTAATAACCTCCCAAAAAATTTTATAAAACCAAAATTTACACCACATGGACCTGGACTTTTCGAACTATCGTAACCCCAAATTGATTCACGCCCTTCGAGTTATGTGAATTCTTTTACCAAACATTCATTGTTTG